TGATCAAGGGAGCTGCTATTTGCTTTACCAGCTTCATTAACACTTTTTTCTTACAGTGGTTATTGTTTGTAAAGTAATAATTGATCGAAAATTGAGATATTTCATAAATTGAGAAGCCTCGATAAGCATAATACAACTGCATCTTTGTAATGATGGTGTTAGAATTACCATGGTTTTTCTCATTTTTAATTCCAGTAACATTACTTTATTGTTGTTTTTCACCAGACATAATCCTATCAATATGTTTATTGATTTATATCAAACTATTTATAATTCCCACATTTTCCTCCATTTTGTAGTAATTTGAAGAGTAAAGCTGAACTCCACCTTATGCAGATTAATAATCAATGTAAGCATAGCTGATGCTTATACATATATCTATTTATCCAAAAAAAAAGTTTGTTTATGAGAGTAATTCATTTTGTTACCCGATAAACAGGAAATTTTTATTCAGTAAACATTTGGTCAATTTTAATTAATAATATGATTCCGTGGTAAAATTATGAGAATTTTGAAATCAGTAATAATTTTCAGGAAGCATTGGACGCGTTGCTGAAGAAAGTGTTAGCCGTGGACCATTTATGTTGGCCGTGTACTGCGTGTTTCGTTAGAAAGATGGCCTCCTCGGCAGCCGGAACAAGCAGTACAAGAATATCTCAGTATACTTTAGATCGTGCCAACCGTACCCGGTTACTTATTGAGAACTGCTATGCACAAGCTCTAGCTCAGTGTCATGAACGAGAAAAAAGGTTACGGAAGTTGGAAGAAAAAATGGAAGTGGAAGGTTGGTCGATTGGGCTATTTGTGTAAATCTCCTTGTTGTCATATTAACTATTTATTTCTTTGTTCGTTTGCCTATTTGTGGATTTAAATACTCGTTTGTTTACTTGAATATGTAAAAGGAATTAAGAAGTGTTTGTTTTGCACTCCATTTTATGGAACATCTTACAAAAAACTCAGTGTATTTTTAAATGTTCCAAAGAAAGCATTATTCTTTTTTGTATTTTGTAGATAACAATTGATAAATCATTAGATTATGCCGAATTCAAAATAGTTGGTAGATTTTTTGCTGCATCTTTTGATTATACAAAATATCGAGCAACTTGTTTTGGTTTTAGGTCTTTCGGAGTCGGAAAAAGTAATACGCCGACAAGTACATATGGCTAAAGAAACAGATTTTCTACGATTGAAAAGGACGCGACTTACTGTTGCTGATTTTACATCCCTGAAAGTAATTGGTCGAGGAGCTTTCGGAGAAGTTGGTGAATAATTGCATTTAAATTAATTCTAGAGCTTGGAATTTGACAGCGCAAGATGTCGGAATTTTAGAGCTCAAGATGAGGGATGCAATACTAATATAAGTTAAGACAGAAAATAAGTAAGATTTAAGGAAAGCATAAAGAAATGAGTTTTTTCCTTAGCTTATGCATAAATATCACGTTATTGTTCCTATTCACGTTCCATATTATAAATTGATTGTTGCTTATGTTAAGAAAAAAATCACTGTTTTAGAAATGAACATTATAATCAAATATGGAATGAGTGTGTTGATAGCCAGCATCATTGGTAGCGATCGATTTATAATATGTGATTTAAAACATTGAATTTTATTTAAATTTTTATTCAGGTACGGCTGGTTCAAAAAATCGACACTGGTCATGTTTATGCTATGAAAATTTTACGAAAAACTGAAATGCTTGAAAAGGAGCAGGTGATTTGTTCGTTTTGTCGACTATTACTTTCTTCTAAAAAATTTTGTTCTCTTTTGAATTTTTTTATTTTTCAGAAAATACAGCTTCCGAGAAATTTTGATAATTTAATTAATAACAATCGACTTTGCTTTCAGACAGCTCATGTACGTGCGGAGCGTGATATACTATCCGAAGCTGATTGTGAATGGGTTGTAAAGATGTATTTTTCGTTTCAAGATCCTCTCAATCTGTATTTAGTCATGGAATTTTTACCTGGAGGTAAGTTACTGTTCGAATGATTTTGAGTACCTGTGGTAATAAAACCATAAAATGATTGGGGGACTAATCCTCATTGTTTTCTGGGTAAGGATAAGACTTAGGACCTAACTAATAGTGGTAAGATCATACAGGCTTTCAGAACACAAAAGATTGAAAGATAGTTTTGCTTTATAAAATGGCCACCCAGAAACTTTCGAGAGAACGGAAACATGCATCAGAACTTGAATTCGTACGTTTTTCACAGTCTGATGAATTGAATAGTTGAATATAAAAGGATGTGAGAATTGTTGCTATAATAATTTGTTTGAGGTGACATGATGACACTACTTATCAAGAAGGATACGCTGTCGGAAGATGCCACCAAATTTTATATTGCTGAAGCAGCGCTGGCAATACAAGCAATACACAACCTAAATTTTATTCATCGTGATATTAAGCCAGACAATTTATTATTGGATTCAAAAGTAAATTTCAGTTTTTATTGGAAAATTCTGAAGATGTTTTCATGATAATTTTCGAGAAAGGGAGTTAATCACGTTTATTTATCCGTTTATACATGCCGTGGCGTGTTACACACTAGTGAAACTTAAAGAAGACTGTAAAACTAGTTGCATTTGCAAATTTATTTCCAATCAATGCTTTGTTTGCTTTTCTGCAGACATTCTCAAGTGTGTTTTCAGAGTCGAATCTCATAAGAAATTATCATTAACAGTGGAATATCTTCACGCTTAATATGTAGCACTCTGTCCGATGTCATATCAGATCCACTTATTACTATCACATTTTCAGGGACATATAAAACTCTCTGATTTTGGATTGTGCACAGGTCTCAAAAAAGCCCATCGAACTGAATACTATCGAAATTGGCCCAGTCAGCTGCCAAAGGATTTCGTGACAAAACCGCTTGGATCAAAAAGAAAAGCCGAAACATGGAAGAGAAACAGACGAGCAATTGTATATTAATTTTTCGAACTATAATAAAAAGTTATTGTCAAAATTTTTGGTTAAAACCACATTTCTAAACTCTGAATACTCTCCAGATAATTTTTCTATGATCCTTCTACTAATTCATTTTTCAAGCTTGAAGTGATTTTCAATAAAGCTTTCAATTTTTCGCCATAATTTTTGTTAAAAAAATCTGGTTTGGAATTGATGTTTGCACTTGGAGTTTACAATAATTAAAAGAAAAGTCTTAGGCTTATTCAACGGTGGGCACACCGGATTATATTGCACCAGAAATTTTTCAACCAAATGGCTATACGAAGACTTGTGATTGGTGGTCTCTTGGTGTTATCATGTATGAGATGCTTATAGGTAGGTATTTCAAAACCTGATATGCTGAAACATTAACGTATAAAAGTTTGAGATTTCTGAGTTTCAAGAAACGAATAATCAAATTTTGTTTAACGAATAATCATTTTCATGTGGAATGATTTCTTTATATTGTGGCATACAGTTTTGCAGGTTATCCACCGTTCTGTTCCGAAACACCTCAAGAAACTTATCGAAAAGTTATCAACTGGAAACAGACGTTATTATTCCCTCCAGAAATGCCAATTTCTGTAGATGCCAAGACAGTAAGTTGAATCCTAAGTCATGGTTTCACCTTCTGAATATTTGCGTGACTGGGTTAGATCTGTTACCAGGCATGCCGGTTGTAATAGGATCTGTAAAATTCACTACTCAATTAGTGCACCCAGCGATAAGTAATGAAAAGTAACTACACTGTGATTTGGTTAATAGCGTTTCAGACGATCAGGAAATTTTGTTCGGAACCGGAGCATCGTTTAGGCCACAGTGATGGTGTTGAAGAGTTAAAGACATGTCAGTTTTTTCGAGGAATCGACTGGAGCAATATCAGGTAGATGAAATCATAATAATAGAATTATAAATTCGCATGTTTAAAATGAAATTTGATTTATTATTTACGTTTTGTGGATTTGTTTAAAATTTTCTGTAATTGATTTTGTTGAAATCGGTTTCTAGCTTGCTTTTGCACTAGTTATTGGCAGTCTGATCAAAGGACGAATTAAAAAAGTTTTTGACAACTGAAAGGTCTTGGCGAAAGAAACATTTACGGTTTTTACAAATTAAAAGTTCAGAGAGGATGATGGTTTGTTACTTTTCAACTTTCTTTCCTCTTAGGAAGTGTCCGGCACCCATCCGTGTTGATGTCAAAAGTATTGATGACACTTCAAATTTCGACGAATTTCCGGATGCCGATTTATGCATTCGTAAGTTTATTTACCTGCTTTTTTGTTCATTTCTCACGTTAATTATCAGCAATAGTTCTGCTATTTCCTTTCACCTTCATTATTTTTAAAAATTCATTTTTTTCCGCTGAATACAAACCGGATATTGGTGCAGCTAAGCAACAGCTTGGCGATAGAGGAGAATTTTCGAATTATACATATCGACGATTTGATGGGCTAACCCAAAATCGTCAGTTCAAAAAGAAATGTGTAAGGAGTTTAGAGTTTTGTCATTATTTTAGTGTTTCAATTTCAAATCAGATTTCATTTTTTGAATTATTCTTATTCAGACTGATTATTATGAGCGATATAGTTTAAAGTTCTAGGCCTTATTTTACATTTTGGCAGGTTAATGTAGTTTACTCGAGATTTGTTTTTAAGATAGCATTGCTATTAGATGATTTACTGAAAAATGGAAAGCGGTGATATGTTACTAAGAAAAAATATTTACTGAAAAATAGAAAGCGAACTTTTTGAGCTGTCTGAAATCGTTTATGTTAGTTTGTACGCTTATTGAATTTATTAGTGATTTACTTTCTTGGTTATTTATTTCTGTCGATAAACTGTGCTTTTGTAGTCCACCGATGAGGATATGGAAGATTATTCGGTACCATCAGTGACATTTAATGCCGCATCGCCTGGAAGATTATGAATCTTGAACGAAACAGAGATTTATTTGATTTTTGATGGATATTTTATCTGAAAGCTCCAATCTTTACTTTTTCCCTGCTTTGCAGCAGTTTCAGATATTTATGCAGAAGTATTCTTTTGTTTCTTGGGGAGTTAGTATATGCATCTTTTTACTAATTCACTTGTAATATAGAATAATCTTGTTGTAAAATGCCTTTTACAACCTTTTCAAATTTAAAAAAATTCGTTTTTTGGATTTCTTCGTTTCTTCTCTCTATCAAGCAAATAGGAGGAGCAGTTTGAGATCAGGAACCTTTTTTCAACAATTTTATGCAAGCCTAAGTTTTTTTTTTGTATTTCTTCTTTCTCATGTGATATACAATATATACATATTATACATATACATATGTATATATGTATGTATTCCACTCTTATAAGTCCTTCATAATTTTCCGATGGGATCTGTGCCTCGTGAAATGTGAACGGAATGTAAAATAGATAATTATGTGGAGTGAACCTTTGTTACACGCATGCATTGTATTATAATTGAAACTGAATTGAACAAGTTTTATATTTAGGCTTTGAATTATCGTCTGTGTATGATAATATTGTAATATATTATTATTAATTATTATATTATTGTTCACAGTTATGTGATTTAATTAAATTTAAAATCGAATTTTTTGCTGAATAAATAAAACCAAAATAGATATATTCGAATTATATGATTTTGCAAAAATCATAATAGCATATGCTTGTTACACAATCCATCCTTAAATTAACTAAATTTTGCGTTTTGTAATTCCATGCATCCCGTGATGTCCACGGGTGAGATACTCTACATCATGCGAATAAATATTCTATTATTTTAGTATTGAATATTTATCTGGATAAACAGAACCATAATACATTTGCGCTAATCACATGAGCGGTATAAAAAGAAAACTGTGAGTTCGGGCATTATTCATTAATGCCTTTACGATATTCATTTTCAGTCCTATCACATTTGCTTCAGATGACAGCAGTGGTCGATGTATCGTATGGATGTCTTATGATCCCTTTGTTACCATCGCTATTATTCTCCATTATTGTCATTCATTTTGAAAATAAATTCAAGTTTAAATTTATTCTTTTGTGGTAGGGTTTTCGCTCATTGATCTTTTGCGTTTCAATCGTAAACACGATTGCTGATTCTTTGTTAATGTATTTTACTATTCATTTGCTGAATTATTTAATTAATAGCCTTTTTATTGGACAACTTTTTTCACTTTTCATTATGAAATTTTCTCTTCTATTATATATTTCAACGACAGAGTTTTTCCAATCACGAAATCGCGGCAAGTTTACCTAATTATTTTTATTTCTCCTTTCATTAATATTCATTCATGTGTTTGTGATTTCTGCAGAAGTTTCTCTTTTTTTCCTGGATTTTTCGGAAATTTTACTATTTGTATGGATTCTGTGGATTTTGTGCGCAATCAACAAATTAGGATATCTCGCAGAATTGTTACGCAAGCTTGTTTTAGAAATTTTCGGAAATTTTATCATTATTGTTGATGAATATCATCAATACTAATAAGCTGAAATTGATATAAACATCTTATTATGGAAAATGTAGGAGAATCATTGTGGAATTATCGCTGAGAAATAATGTGGTGGGTTTTTCGGGACCGTTATCAGGTAGTAATGTGGTTTTAATGTGGCTTGTTTTCAAGAAAAATTTTAAATTTATTGGTTCGTTTTACTATCTTTATGATTGAAATATATTCAAATTATAATTATTAAGTTCAACATTAATTTTATTTTTCTTTTATTTTATCTGAAATTAAGATGCCTTGTATCAAAACGATTTCCATCCACAATATATGATTGATTTCCAAATTGTCCGATAGTGTTTAAGTGTATAATTTTTGCAATAATTAATTTAAAATTAATTTCCTTTGTTTATTTTCAAATCTCTTCATTTCGTACAAAATTTAATTCGTCTGTCGAATAATGGCAATAAATGAATTATTGTTGCAATATTGTAAGGAATATCCTTCGTAAAATTTTAGCCCGAGTTTTTATTATGAGATTACAATAAATCATAAACATTTATGTATTTTGCATGGATATTTTCCAGTTATTAAAAAAAATTCTCGGAAAATGATCATAGGAGATTGTTTACTACTATCATTTTTAATTGATGTTATAGAAAGTTTAAACTCAGTTGGTGAGGATTGATTTCAAAGATTTGCGATATTTATGGGAACATCTCATTTATGTGCTGATTAATGGAAACAGCTCTGTCCTGTGATTTACAACATATAATGTATAATTTTTGTATTATGCATTATTCTGCAATGAAAATGGTAACGGAAAGAACAATTTGCTTGTTAATTTCTCTTTCCTTTTCCTTTTTTCTTCCTGTCCCTTTCTCTCTCTCTCTCTCTCTCTCTCTCTCTCTTAATCTATTTAAATAAAACTATCATTTTGACTCAGATCAAATAGTCTTGAAATAATAGCATTTTTATTTTTATTTTTTTAAATTGCAGAATGTTGGCTCCCACGGCTCACTCATTGCAGTTCGAATTGAAAGTTAAGAAATTGTAAGATTGAATGTGTTCTATACATGGACCAAAAATGCACTTAACTTGGTGTCGACTATTGGCCGGTGTTTTAAGTATATCAGTATTTGTCTGTTTGATTCTGTATAATTCACTGGAAACACAAACTTTCGAACACAAACGGAGTTATCAAGACCAACAGGTTTGTTGGGCTTCTTTATTTTGCACATTACTTTAGCCAAGTGTTGTTATATCGTTATCGTGCTCAGTTCAGTCATCTATTTTATTTTCGGTACAGCCCGATAATTTAGTTAATCAGTTTAGTATATTATTGATTCTGGGAAAATTATTGCATATTTATCACTATAAGAAGAGTGCATTTCTCAGAGTTTCGGAATTTATACATGAGATACTAGAATGTAAAACTCGTTGGTTATTGAAATCAAAAAAATTGACATACTTTGATAATATGTTCAAATAAATTTACAGTTTGAGTTGGAGAAACTGGAAAAACAAATCAGTCTATTAGAAGATGATGCGAAAAGGAGTGGTCAGTTGATGCATGACATGTTACAGAAGGTTCTGAAAGAACGTCAACAATTGAAAAGTAATTTTCTATTCTCAGTTGCGAATACTTTGTCACGTGAGAGCGAAGAGTATTTAGAACTCTCGATTTCTCTTTTTCCCATGTATGTTTGTGTTTCATATTTGTCTCTATACTTTAATTCACTGTGAGTTTTGAATATCTAAATTATTTGAGGTGAAACTGGCAAACAAATGGAAGATGAAGAAAAAGGAAGAGAAGTTGTGGATGAAGCTGCTGTTGGTTTTTTGCCGCCTCCAAAAAAAGCTGAACAAGTATTTCCTTGCATTTAATGATGCTCCATCTTAAATCTCACGATTTTTTTTAGAACAACGATTCGGATAAATTCAGTTAATACAATAAAATTTATGCTGAAGCATACAGTTTTATGGTAATCATACTAACAATAATTCGAGCATGTATAATTGAAGTTACCTTTTAGTAACTTCAATTACACATGTTTGTTGTCGAATTAAGACATAGTTAACTTTCCAAATTTCGGAAAAATTTGAATTTAACTTCTTTGTGGATTTTTAATTTTTTTTGAATTTTTAATTTCGGAAGAAAAAATTTGAAGTGGACGGTTGATTTAAATATTTTGGTACATATAATTTTGAAAGTGTAACAGTTGCAGATTGAAAAAGAGGCTCGTAATGCGGAAGAAGCTGCGCAACAGAAAGCTCAAGAAGAACAAGCGTTACATGGAGTCATTCATCCTCCAGAAGAACCGCAAAAGGCTGAGGAAATGTCGAATAAAATAGGTGGAAAGGTATGATTTCGAAATCAAGTGAAACAAATGGAAATAGCTATTTAATAGAATTTTAATTCTTTGTTAAATCTTTTGAAATAGCTGGTAAGTAATTTATATCTTCTTATGTTTAAATAGCATGTGTCAATACTATTTTTTAATTTAGTGGAAATAATCTACAATGAAACTCATCAGTTCGAAATTATATAGGTTAGTATTGTTGATGGTTGAAGTTACAGGTTGCTATTGTTAGGCAGTTTTTGGATCAAATTTCTTCTGTTCCACCACATAGTGTGTGTTTTGCGACTATATCCATGACAATACCCGACGATAGCAATATCCAAGTAACATTTTTTTTTCAAGTTTTAATATCTGTTTTTAATTTTTAATCCTCTGAATTGAAATACTAAAAATTCTTACATAGCTTCCTTTTTCTTGTAAATTTAAACAAAGGTCCAGAATACTTGTGTAAATCTAACTTAATCATGTCCAACATTTTGTGAAAATTTTTCAAAGATAAATGTTGTTTTGTTTCTCACTTCTTGATTCATCATTTATTCACGTTTAATTTGTATATCAGTTTGTTATTTTCACTAATTTACTTAAGATGTTGGACATATATAGTAAAATACCATTTGATGATCCAGACGGTGGAGTCTGGAAACAAGGTTATGATATTGTGTACAGTCCGTCGTCGGTACGACGTGAAAAAAAACTTGAAGTAATTGTAGTACCCCATTCACATAACGACCCAGGTTGTCACATTTTTCGACATGTTTTTTTAATTTGCGATATATTTTTGTTTTTTTTTCTTTCTTATCCGATTACTTTTAGCCATTTCAAACATTACTGTTGATCATTCGATAAGATGTGCAACAATTTCACTCAGAGTTAAGGTGATGGAAAATACTGCCCTAAAATTATGAATTCCGGAAGAGTACATGCACTTTAACTTAATTGAAAAAAGATTTAGGTTGGATAAGAACTTTTGAAGAATATTATGAAAGTCAAACACGAAATATATTGAATGGTATGTTAAACCATTTGCAAAAAATGGATGAAATGCGTTTCGTTTATGCAGAAATGAGCTTTTTTGAACGATGGTGGGCAGAAATTGATGAAGAGAAGCGAGAATTAGTGAAACAGTAAGTTTTTGTGTGTTGTTTTATGCTAATACATTTTGATTAGTTGCTCATTTTTTAATATAAAAGCTATCGAATCTGCCTTTTTCCCAAAGCTTAGTCTGCAAAGGAATTAGATAATTTAATCGTCCAAAAAACAAGTTCATGTGATATAATGAGTCAGAACTGAACTAATTTGTTCTAAAGGGACCTCAGAGAATTAAGATAGGCAACACAGTTTATAACTATTTGGAACATTATTTTGAAAGCCTGAACTATATATTGGCGTTCAAATAATTTATACAGTAAAACATCGAATTTGTTCGAAATACTAACATTTGCTTACTCAAGATTTTTTCAACTTGCTTCCCAACGTTGCTTATTGCACTTACTTATTTTGGAGCTTGAATATAACCAGAGGACAAGTATGTTACCTTCGGAAAAAATATTACTTTAATTTAATTGTTGCTGTGAGCGGACGAAAATTTTCACCAGTCATCGGATTTTGTGATCGATTTTTTTTTACTTTACTTCTTTTAACCAGAAGTTTTGATATAACTTAAGGCTTTTGAAATCACAAAAGTTGGAAATATTAACTGGTGGATGGGTGATGCCCGACGAAGCTAATTCACATTATTATGGATTGATTAGTCAGCTAATGGAAGGACATGAATGGATTCAAAATCATATTGGAGAAGGTTATAAACTATCATGATTTCATATATTCAAAACCGTAATAAAATAAAGTCATGACGTAATGAATTAAAATAGAAATTGGAGCATTAATTTCACATGTTCTCTCGTTTGTACTCTTTAGAACAAAAATATAGTTTTTCCACGAGAAATTTCGGATCTTTGATCACTGTTCTGCTTAAAACTTTGTAATTTTTAACGCTGTGAAGTAATGATTTCAGATTACAAACCAAGGAATCACTGGTCTATTGATCCTTTTGGTTTAAGTCCAACAATTTCATACTTTATGAAATTGTCGAATTTTTCGAATGGTGTTCTTCAAAGAGTTCACTATTCGGTGAAAAAGTACTTGGCACAAAGGAAAGAGTTGGAATTTATGTGGAGACAGTTATGGGGTGCGTCATGAACATAAAGTTTAGGAATTTCAGTATCTCTCATCATTCGGTATAAACTCTTGTCAGGACATTTCCCAAAACTGCCATAGAATGCTGGCTCTAAAATTGTTTTATCTAATCTATTAGCTCATTAAGCTGTTACCAATTTCCAGATTTGATTATATTTGATTTCATTCATCAGCACTTAAATTTGCTTAAAATATTCAAATTATAAAGTTGTTGAAATCTGATCTGCCTTTATTATTTGTAAATAATTTGTCTAAATGGTAATATTATCAGAGCGATTAATTCAACTACAGTCATCATTCAGTATAAAAAAATTACACAAAATATTAAGGATTCTTGCTAGGAATTTCAAATTTTTATCATTTCCAAAGTATTTATGAGGAATCAAACAGTCATCAAAACTTGTTATTCATGATGCATTACTACCAACCTTCTATCTTCGATATAATTTTCTATATCTTCTATATAATTTCAATCTTCTATATAATTTCCTTAGTGAAAAAAATGTATTTGCACTGTAAACATTTTTGAATAATTTGCTTTATTTAGATGCTTATATAACTAAGATTTTTTATAGAAATAGAATTGCTTGGTTATCAATTTAACACGGATTTAATGCTTGTACAGTGAGTTCATTGAGCAGTAAATTTAAACTTTATGCATATTTCGTTCTTTTCACAATTATCACTTTTGACAGCTTTATTTGCTTATCATTTGTTCACAAAATTAACAAATAATGAATGCATTAGTGAAATTAATAGTTTGAAGATTACAGGCAATCGTGATAATTCAACAGACTTTGCTACACATGTAATGCCGTTTTTTTCGTATGATATACCTCACACATGTGGTCCGGATCCGAAGATATGTTGTCAATTTGACTTTAGACGTACTGCTGCAGGTGATATTGATTGTCCATGGAAATTGCCGGCAGTTGATATTACCGAGAATAATGTTAAGAAAAGGTAAAGCTTAGGTTTATACGAATGATCGGAATTGTGTATCAGTTAGTGATACCGCAACTAGTCCAATATTTGTCAATTTTCGTTGATTTAGTGCAATTTAATTCAACTGTATATTATGTACTCTAATTCTTGCTGTCATATTACTACATGTTATATTTTTTAATGTTTTCTGAATATAATCGTTAGAAATTATTTTGCTGGATTGTACTGTCCCAATTGCAGGGCGGCATTACTATATGATCAATATAGAAAAAAAGCACAACTCTTCAAAACAAATGTTGTTTTGGTGCCATTAGGTGATGATTTTCGTTACGATACAGAATTTGAGTGGAATAACCAATATGCAAATTACATGAAATTATTTATGTATATGAATGCACAAAATGAATGGAATGTAAACGTGAGTTCATTTCTTTTAGTCTCCGGTTTACTTATCTTTAAGTTTTATTTTCTTTATAGTAATTTTTTGACTTATTACTCTATACTTTGTTGCGTGACAGGAAAATAATTCACCTATCACTCTCGATGTAATAATTTGCCTGTTATCATAGGCCAAAAAATAAGCTTTCTAGTGTATGAATGATTAGCACGGCAGAAATATGGATTATTATATGACATATTAAACGGTAAATTAGTAAAACTATTATTTGAAGAACAGATGTAGTTGTAATGAATGATAGCCTTTTTTCTCTTTATTTCTAGCTATTCAGTTAGATAAGTCATTCATTTCTAAATTAAAGTTTTATGGAGTTCAAATAATATTTTGGATTTTTTATAAAATCATATTAACAAGAGGGGTGGTATACATGTTCAAAAGTAGTGATTTTTTCTTCTTTCAGGCTCGTTTTGGAACTCTGAATGAGTATTTTCGTTTAGTTCATGAACGTTTAAGTGAAAATAAGGAGAATTTACCTGTTTTATCCGGCGATTTTTTTACATATGCAGACCGAAATGATCATTATTGGAGCGGTTTGTTTTCCACTCCGAAAAGTAAAATACCGGTAAATACGAATAATTCGCCATTGATGCACAAAGCTATTATTTGTTTTATATTCTATTTTCCAATTCAAAATATATTTTTCTCAGAATAGTGGATGCCGTAAAGCTTGATTCCCGAAATTTTACCCAAGAAGAAATTTCTTTCAGGATATTATACGAGTCGACCATTTCACAAGCGTTTTGATCGTATTTTACAACACTATGTCAGGTTAATACTTTAAAAAAATAAATCATCCTTCATCATCTTATTAGATTACAAAGAGATTCAGTTGTATTAGGCGTTCTGAAAAATGTTGTAGCGGTGTGAAAAAGTCCTTGATTTCCCTCATCACTGTACTGAAATTAAAATTTCCGCACTAATTTTATTATTTTTTGAAGACTGCAATAATTATTCAGAAAATGAATTAGTGCTCCCTTGATTTTTCTATCCTTTTTTTACTTTCTTAATCATATCCTACATATTAATGTTTTTTTGTTGCAGAACTGCTGAAATTTTATATAGTTTTATGGGAATGAAAGGACTGGAGAAAAGAAATGCATTACGTTTATTCGGACTACTTGTGGAAGCTCGACGTTGGATGAATTTATTCCAGCACCATGATGCTGTTGCCGGCACATCAAAAGATGAAGTTATGGCTGACTATGGCCACAAGTTTGTATACAAAATTATAGTTTGATTAAAAAGTCTAATTGATTGTTGCAACTAATTCCAAGTATTTTCCGGAATTTTCAATTTTCGAGCATAATTTTGACATTTTGAATCTTATCGTTTTATCATTGCTTTCTAAAATTTTGAAAAATTGTGAATTTAGTAGTATTATTTATAATTGGGTCGATTTCAAAAAAGCTTTTTTATGCAGAATGGCTGATGCAATGAAAGGTTCTGAAGAAATTATACTCACAGCTGCAGATTTTTTGCTTCGAAGAAATGCATCACGAAATTCTTCGGTCTCTCCAAGCCTCTTGATGGTAGATTTTAATTGTTTATTTGTAATTTGTTGCAATTATAATTATTAGATTGATTTTTCATTTTAATAATGTATGCATATATCCGTTTTTTGTCTAATTATCAGAATTTATATCTTTTTTGTTTCTTTTATTTAGCAGATAATATGATTGCATGTGGGCTCTTGATCATGCAGGATTCTCGTTATATTACCAGTGGTGGGAAGATTCTATTACTGTAACTATTTGGTGATACGCGTGAAATGTAGTATCTGTCTGATTAGCATTTTTCAACCTAAGGAATTATTTTCATTTCTCATCATAAAACCCATACTCATTCTTGTACTTAATTTTTTTAGGATATTCTTAAACTGAATTTTTTTCGTCCATATGTGATTTTTCAAGGAATTTCCAAAAAGCAAAGTTCAGAATTTTGAAATTTTCAGGAAGAAAGTCATGGTACATCTGAATCACTTCCGAAAAAACGAGTTGTGATGCATGGGAGGTTAGCAAAGTTTACATTTGTGTAATATCTTTATTGCATTTAAAATTGTTATCTTACTAGCGATTTGCATACGAAATATTATGCAGTCTATTGAAAGAGCATGCTACAAAACAACAAATCTATTGAATTCTAAATTTGGAAGCTAGATGAAACTTTCTTGTCTAAATATTTTTTGGAAGGACTAACAGAAATGTCATATTTGAAATTGTTTTCATTTCATCCTATTCTTTGTAAATTTCGTACAATATTGAAGCTAGAAGAAAAAATGAACATTTTTAAATCAGGCTTATTTTAAACTTCTTAACAATTACGTCTTATCTTGTTAAGATAAATTTAAGTTAAGAATAAGTAAAGAAATTTGATAGTTCCAGACATGTTGTTTATGAAAGAATTTGTACGTTCATTTCAGTGAAATTATTTTATTCAATTCACTGGGAAGCCTAAGGATGGAAACGATATGTGTTCATGTTAATGCTTTGGACACGGTAGTAGTTCTAGCATCAGAGCCCGATGTGACGATTTTGCAACAAATTGGTCCAGTTCTTGAATTCGTTAATAATAAATGGGTAATCGATTCAAAATTATATGAGGTATGATTTCGCAATATTTCTTCTGCCCCGTTGGTAATAATTTTTTCATATTTCGTTTTTGAAACTGGATTTATGAAATGATTTTAAATTTATTTTTTGGTCGCTTCTTGTAAGTGTTCATTTTTCAAATTTTCAGCTTTGCTTCGTTTCTCGCATACCTCCGTTAAGCTTCCAGAAATATTTCTTTAAATCCGGTATTCAACATGAGAAAGCTGTGATCCGATTGAGTTTTACTGGGTTGCAAAGCAGGTTACTTTTTACTTACTGCTTGACATTTTTGCTTAATATTGAATGAAGTGAAAAGTTATTTGGAGAATAAAATTCAATGAAGGTAATGACTTAGAAGCTTTAAATGTTGGATAAAAAGAGCATTATTAGCTTTATGGTAGTTTAGCTATCGATTATTGAATTTTCACTTCCTATTCATTTTCTTATTGGTTTTCTTACTTTCATTTCTCTCTTTTATTTCCAGTGACTTTGATGTTGCACCACTGGGAGATTTTACTTTTGATAATGGCTTAATATCAGCATCATTTGATCCAAAAACAGGTCATTTGGTCGTAAGTTCAATTTTTCAGTTCTTGAAAAGAAAGTGAGTTAAAAAGAGATAGCAAACAATGGAAATTTTTTATCCATGGTGATGAGCAATTTTTTTTTCAAATCGAAAGGTTTTCAGATAGTGGAATAATTTCCTGGAAGTTTCTTTTAATCTTGTCTTTATTATGCCATAATTGTTCTCTTTTTCCTTTTTAATTCTTGAAATTTTTTCAGTCTGTATCATTAAAACAAGGGAAGAACATACCAGTAAAAATGTCGTTTGTCTGGTATGAAGCGAGAATGAAGAGCCCATGTATGTTCTTTCACTTCAGAATTATGTCTGGTGATTATTTTTGTCCAACTGTTCTGTAATTATTTTTTTAATATATGACAAATTAATGTTTTGAAGTGAAGAGAAGTAAATTTTTAGCTTTTTTAATACAAATCATATTGATTTTAAATGCATAATTAAAAATATTTTTTATAGCACCTCTGAAAGGTACCGATAATCCTCCTGGTGCATACTTATTTCTACCGAATGGCCCAGCAAAACCATTAGAAATTAAACAATCATTTATAGCTGTCCAAGGGATGATAATGCAAAAAGTAACTCTAACATTTTTCCTTCTTTTTCTTTTACAACAGGTTAAATATCGCAGTTAGTTGACGATATTGCGCGAAAATTTATTAATAATTTCTTTCATATATACAAGTTTTGGGTCGTTATATTTGTCAATTAAAGCTGAAATTGACATCATGAGGTTGTTAAATGAACATCTCTTTAATCTTTTTTAGGTATTGCTAGCTAATCATGGAAGCATGATCTTCACTCATGTTGTAAAAATACCACTGTTATCACCATCGGTAGAGTTCGAAAATACATTTCATTTGGATAATGTCCAGAATGTTGAGTTAGCAATGCGATTGGAAGCAGGAATTGATAATGGGGATGAGTTTTTTACTGATCTTAATGGATATCAGGTAATTATCATCCACTAGATAGCAAAATTTAACTATTTTTATGGAAGTACTCAAGAAAAATGATAAATCGGTAGTAGGAATTTTCGTGACGCAACATACTTATGATAATTTGAATCTTTCACAAATTAATAACTTTAAAAGTAATTAGCAAGCTATAATTCTACCATATACTAAAAGAATATTTTGGTTAAATAAAAAGTACTAAATAAGATATGAGGTTCAGCAAAAGTTTCAAGATAATGTTGAATAAAAATGTATTAACTGTCTCTAGTTACATTTTCTTTTTTTCTCGTATGACTTGCTGGTAAGTATGACACTAAAATTCAAATCTGTTTGTTTTAGTAATTTCTACAGTTTTAATATTTTAGTTACGTTAGGTTAAATGCTCAGCGGTATGAAAAAAAAGGAGCGATGTAATTGAGATTATACGTTAATTAAAAATGGTGTTTTTTCCTGGCTGTGTCAGATTTCAATTCAAAATACTATTTCAGATGGTGAAGCGACGTAGATTCAAGCAACTACCACTACAAGCCCACTTCTTTCCCATGTCTTCCTCAGCATTCATAGAAGATGACACGTTGCGGATGACGCTTTTGAGTGCTCAACCTTCAGGAGTTGCAAACCTTGCCAGTGGTATGTGATTTAAATAATCTCTTCATTTTTTTCCGACAATTGCAATAATGGAAAATGGAAAAACTTAATAGTCGTGACAGTAATAGATAACATAATAGTATCAACCATTCAATAGCATTTAATGATAACGATAGCTTATAGATGATAATTATTACAGGGAATATTGATTGTAAAATTTGCTGAACCATTTTGCATAGAAAAGGAAATTTTCTGGTAGGATAACACATATATGAGTTTGTCTTTAAGATCATAATGGCAAAGCTTCAATAAAAAATGGAAAACAAGACTCTAACAGATATTAAATAGAAAAGAAAAGTCTCCGATAGGATGAGCATTTTACGAGTTATGATAGATTTCCAATATAACATTAATTGCAGGACAAATGGACATAATGTTAGATCGACGCTTAAATCAGGATGATGGAAGAGGCCTTTTCAGTGTATGTGTTTTAAAATTAAGGAATATCTGATTTAGACGAGGATATAAAAGATTTTTTTGGAAAGTGTTCATTTATTTTAGCCAATAAGCATGTCCATCGCGATGTTTTCTTTTGTCTAACTAATGACAATCAGGTAGTTAAAAGCTGTTATATTAAGTTATTTTAAAGAATCGCATAAATTTTTTTCTGAGTCTTTTTTAGGGTGTTACGGATAATAGAAAAACCACAAGCTCTTTCCGACTTCTATTTGAAGTTCCTTCTCAAAATGTGCCGATGAATGCGAAAGCCAGAGTTACTGCTTATCATTCGGCACAAACTTACGGTCTAATGCTATCATTGTTGTATCCGCCTGTAGTATTGCTGAATAGTTTGAGTGAAGGTGCGTCTTTGTTTCAAGTTTGAAGTGCGTTTTTTTTCCTGATTTATCATCTGCTGGTGCAGTAAATAAATTAACGGTAATTGTTAATAAATTAATGAATAATTTTAGAAATTTGTATCCATTTTCAAAACTGATCTTTAAACTGCGTCTATTGCTTAGCAGATAAAGCATTCATCCTTTTTTAATGAAGCAGATGTATAACTGTAATAAGCTTCATTTGGAAAAAATTGATTTACTTTAAATTTAGCTGCTCATTAGATAGTATGGATTACTTAAACGGGAAAACTGTTATGTAAACGAAATGTACTAGGATTATTTACTTCACTCTTCTCATATTGAACATACTGCTATAATTGATCATATTTGCTTTTATTATGTTAGCTCTTACCAGTTCAGACTTTCTTCTATAAATTAGATCATGACGAGTACAATATTGTTATCATGGAAATTTTTAACTGCTTATTGCTACATTTCAGATTATATCAATAATTATAATTTGATGAATACTATATTCTCATGTGATAATACACATCTGATTACTTTTCGTACCTTAGCAGCTCCAACAATTTACGGTGCTCATTCGGCTCGTATTCATACTCCCCGAAATTCATATGCTCTTGTTTTGCATCGCTTTGGTATTGATTGTCGTTTTACTACTGAATTGTTGGAAACGTGCAATGCTACGGTATGTTTTACCGGTTTTTACTATATTTTCTAAATCTTAAAACTGTAATTAAAAGCCAAAGAATTGAATGGTACTAGGTGCATTCATAAGATAAAAGGTTATGCGATATTTATTGGATAACTTTTTTACTTATTAATTGTTTATTTATTAATTGTTGGATAATTCAATAAATTCATTCGATCTCTAGACTTTATATTTTTCCAGCTTAATGTAAAGCGCTTATTCATGAAGACACCTTCACATGTAACAGAAACATCGCTAACAATGTTATACGATTATCCTGGTGACGTGAATGATGTATTATTAGAACCAATGCAAGTGCGAACATTTAGGCTGGACTACACATGAAGTATCTTTTTGCTTGGTAGATAATATTTTGGATCACTCTTAGGATCAAATATTTTTTGTGTATTTTTGTAAAATTGAGTTCATGTTTATTTCTTCGGTGTCAGCAGTGGGATAGCCTCATTTTGTGATCTAGTCGATATGAAACTATTTTTTAACCGAATAAGGAAGCAAAAAACTTTGGAAGAATTTACAAATATTGTACATTTGCGTGAGTTATTTGTTGAAACCACTGCTGGCTACCTTGTAGGTATTACTTTTGGTTTTTCTATTTTTTACTTCAAAGTTGGATTGTTTGTTGTTTTTGAGCAAAAATTAGTAAATCAATGTAAATCGTTAAACAACTCCGTTAATTATTACTACTTTGCATGAAACAATTTGTAGCTTGTTTTTTGTCATAGCCTGCAGGAAATGTTTTTATATAAAATTTAACCGTAATAACTTAAAAAAGTACTACCGAGTTATAACAGTCCTCATTTGCTTTCCTCAATCTGTTCCGTTTCAGAATAAAAGTAAATCTAATTTTTTTTTGAATAACGGAGTTCAGTAGTTTTTAATTCTCATCCCGTAATCGTGATGATAATAAATTGAATTCTGAAATCTTCCTATATTTTTGCTTAGAATTTTTAAAAATAAAGTGAAAATCGGTAATTCAGATTTTAATCTAATGAAAAATAGTGGCATTCTCACGAATAAAAAGCTTAGACCTGTCTTTCTTTACTATAATGTTCATCACATATATATATATTTGATTGAACAAGAAATAATATTTATGTCGAGAAATGTATATTTATCGGTATCGGTAATATTTAGGCAATCATTTGATGGGGAATTTATATAATTTTAATTTATCCTTTTTGCCGTTCCTTCAGACAAACATGATCGATAATGGCATATCAATGTACTATTATTATTTAATGCTGTTGAAAAAGCTTAACTTATTCTTCCGTTATCACCACAAAATCTCAATCATTTTATATGGAGAAGAATGATGAATACCTTTTATGAGATTTGTATTGGATATGTCTGGAATTGAAATATAAAGAGCACATTAATTGTTGGAGATTATAGTAGTTATAATGTGCATTTAATATTCTCTATATTTGTACATTCTCTATATTTGTTCTTTTTATATTCTCTATATTTATACAGTTTTTTCCTATTTTTTCTTTTCATGTAAATTTGCTCGATTTGATGGAATTCAATTAAATTTGCTATTTTTCATGGAATTCAATTAAATTTGCTGATTTTGATGGAATTCAATTAAATTTGCTAGTTTTGATGGAATGCAATTAAGTTTGCTGATTTTGATAGATTACAATTGTTATTTGATGGTTCAACAATTTATTTTCATCATAACAGCATCAAGTATGTATTATCAACTATCAATATTAGAAAAACTGACCTATTCAATTCATAGAAATATTATATTGAGGTTTTTTACACATTTCATAAACAACACATTAGCTGTATTTTAACATAAAAGCACTGCAATCACAGTATGATTGTAAAATGAGTAAATAGTTCGATGGTGAGCAAAATATACAGAAAGCGAATGATGGATAATGTTTTAGAAAATCTCGAAGAAACCAAAAAAGCTATAATTTGAAAAAGAAAAATAAATCTTATCCTGACGAAAATCTTTCTGAATATTTTGATAATTGATTACATTTACGATAGCAGCAAGCAGGCGAAAAATGGAATTATTGAATGAATACTCTCAGTATGTTTTTATTCTAAAAGTTGATTATTTAGATTAAAATGGCATTGTGATCAATCACTGTAAAAAATATTTAATGTAATATATATTTGTATTTTTGAACCAAATTAGACAAAAAATTTCAAATCATGGTGAATGCATCATCTGATGATAGTATTTTGGATTCTGAGCATTTGCTTTTCACCTTATCATATTACATCAGAATCAAATGTTAACTTTTTTCTGTGTGATAAAACATCTGACTTAATTGGATCGCGACTTCCGGAATATCCAAGCAACCGTCAGTGGGATATAATGAATGTTATGAAATGATCGACAGATTACAATTTTTAAAGCAAGATTAGAGATTTAAAAAAGATGAAATGCAGAAATTAGCTGATACAGGTTGATTGAACCATAACCTAAATTTACATGCAGTATTACTTTCAGATTATGTAGGTTTGTTGAAGTAAAATACTGCGTGGTGGGAGGGATTTATTTTTCATCCAAAATATGCCATGAAATGATCACCCTGACCTCACAGTTTTCTTTTTTATCAACGCCGAGAAAAAACAGAAATATATGCTGTGACTTCCAAACTTTCAGCTTCCAATGAAAAGTGTTAATTTATAATAATAAAACAGTGAAGATATTTTTTTTAATAAAACAATGAAAATGTTAATTATAATAATAAATTACATAAAAGATCATCTCTTCTATTCCCATTTCTTAACTCCTCATCTGACATTTATTTCTAAGTTTTCTTTCATTCCCGATATTTAGTTAGTCTCCATAAATTTCAGAAAATGAGCATAACAATGAGAAAATGTGAGGTTAGGCGATTAACATAAAAGGAATGTAATAAAATACGAAATCAAATCAATCAACAAAAATACAATTACTTTTAATTAATCTTTTCAAATTTTCAGTTGCTAAAAATTTTAATGCTTACAATCACATGCTAAAAGTCGTAAATTTATTAAAATATTTATTTACCCGAATTACTTTTTACTCTTGGAAACAACATAGATCTTATTATTGTCATTACTATTGCCATCATTATTGTTATGAAGCTTATTATTACAATTATATTAGCTGTCACAAAACTGCAACAACTACTATAATTTCGACGATTATTAGAAGATAACCGCAACTAGTCATTATTATTATTTTTGCATAATTATTAATTATTATTATTATTACTGTTGCACAATTCCTAACAATTTTTAATTATTATTATTACTAGTGCAATTATCATCACATCATTATCACAATTACATTTTAATATTAATCTTGAAAATCACCAAGCTTTCATGATTCCTTCGTGTTTCAAAACAAATCGATCAATTATCAAATTTGTATTTAAAACATTTTGTTTATTTTGTATAAATTCATCAATATAATCGATAAACAAGTTGAGCACAATCTGTTTGGTCATCACATTTGAATATTTGTTTGTTATTTTTGTCTAACCATTCATTATAATTTATTTGGTAGAGGACTTCAAAGCCCAATTTGGCGAATAACTGCAAAGAAAACAAATAATTCATTGAGAAATCATCAAATATATGTGTAATATTTAAGAATATTACATTGATTGATTATGTCGGATTATTTAAATTGATCCTAAAGCACTGCCATTCTTTATGTTCATTTTTTTATAATATGAAGAATATTTTAGCATTTGAATGTTTCATTTAATTTTGGTCACTCTATTACTTTCATTTTTTTCTCGTCATTCAAACAGCAGAACCTTTTGAGAGTTAATTGCAGTTGCTTCACTAATTCCACCCTGAATACCATCACGTTTTTGTTCCGTCAAATCAAACGTTAACAATTCACGCATCAATCCACGTCCAGTGTATTTTTCATGTGTTGAAATGATCATAATTGCTAAAAGCTTTTTAGTTGAAGTTGGCACCAAATCCCATATCTGTAATTGAGTTCCATCAAATTCAGAATTAACCGTCCTTTTCTCCTTTTTGCTTATCAATTATCATATCTCATCGTCAGTCTTTTTTCATCTTGATTGCTTATTCACAAACCTTCAATTCCAATGTCTCAAGCAATTGCTTTATTTCAATTGCTGACATCGCTATTCTTTTCGTTTCCTTTTCGCTTTGCTGCTTTGTTTCTTTTGATGACATAAATTTGTCGTCATTCTAAACGTTGCAGATGTGTTTTTTTTATTTTAATACTTTTTTATGAAATTAAAAAGAAATTTATAAATATTTTTTTTACGGTAATAATATTTGGCATAATAATTTTAATTTGTAGTTGCTTGATGCTTACTCCACGTTCGCATGTTTCATTTAATTTTGGTCGCTCTATTACTGAAGCCAAACGAATGGCAACTATTTCATTCTTTTCGGTTTTTAAAACATAAGAATACGGAAATTTGAGACAAGTTTGAACTGTTGCTGAAAAATGAAAGAAGTTATTGTTTCAAAAATATTTTCTTCTTAAAGAAAAATACAAAGCTTTACAAAGAATTGAAAACAAAATTTTTCGATTTGAAAATAAAGTGAGTTTCAAGCATTTGTATTAATTTTTTTTATAAAGTTAATATCACCAAGAAAAGTTATCAACAAATATTTGAAAAGCTAACATGCTGCTATTTATCTATCAGATAAGCATGCGATGTACGAGAAAATTAATTAATATTATCTACTAAATTAAAAAAAAAAAGTACTCAATAATAATTCCGTCTCAGAATAGAATAAATTCTCTATTCACAAATAAATATACATATGTAGTAAATTTCATTATCATTTAATTAATATAATTTAAAAGGGAAGAGAATGGAGAAGAAACCTTCAGTAATCTCCCACCCATCGCTGCCGGACATACCAACTGAACGCGCGGTCGGTTCGTTTGGGATGAAATGTTTCGTCAAATATTCCATAACATTATTCAAATTTCCCTCCTGCAGTTGTACCAATTTCAAATCATTTATTGTTTTTGTCGTTGTTTTGTTGTTGTCAGCCATTTATATAATCAATATTTCATTTGAATAATTCAATCGCTGAAATTTAACACGTATTGCAACATTGCAAAGGTATAAATAAACATAACATGTATAAAAATACGATATATTCACCGATTAATTTTCAATTTTTTTTATTAAATAAGCAACATGAAAAGTAGTTTGTACTTTTAATCCTTTTTTGGATTTAATAAGAAACATTTAACTTTTTTTCTCAATATCAAAATAATAATGACCCAAAATGATGACCCAAAAATTTACTTCCTTCTGTTTTGCTTTTTTCCCAAATTACCATAGTATATTTTGCAAAAATCTGATTTACTTATTTTTTGACATATTGCAAAAGCAGTAATAGCTAAGTAATGCAAACTAGTAGTATATTTTTTTTAATGATCCAGTTAAGATCAGATAATTCGGAATTGTGGATAATTAAAGCAATGGAATCGACTGAGATAAATGTTAATAATGCTTAACTAGCATTCAACGGCTAATCTGATTCCTTAAAGATGTATTGTAATCAAACAAATGAAACTTTATTTTTAAAAGATCTTTTCTACTAACGTATTTTATTTAAAAAAAAAACTAATCAAAGGAAAGAGAAATAAAACAGGTTTCAAGAAAAAAATGCGAAACTTTTTTTGTAAATAATTCAAAACACAGAATCTTCGTTCACTTCGTGGCGCATTATTATTGTCAACAGAAAATAAATTATTCCCAAAATTTTGTTCTGTTCAAAATTATTTTGATCAAATCCGGTCACAACAACAGCTATTTACTAATTTTACTGCATATTTCTAGTTTTGTAGTCACGTGCAGACATTAACAAAAAAAATTAACAAGACATTAAAAAAAATTTCTCTTCCAAGCATTTGTCATTGAACAGACAATTTCATTCTATGCACTGCAGAAAAATATTTTTTTTAACACTAACATTTCATTTATTCCTTCTTATTTTTCTCTTTCCAACCAATCATCCATTGAACTAGGATTAAAACCTAAATAAAACAATATAGAAGCGACGTTTCGAATGCTTCAATTTGAATAATTTGCGGAAGCAGCACAAATAAAGTCATTTGATTTTGCCAACATATAAAATAAATGAGAGATAAATAGGGTCATTGAGTTTATCAGTGCTAAAATGAGAATCGATGAATTAATCAGTGCGGAAAGTGAGCGTTCGAGAATTTGGATCATTTTCAAAGCGAAAAAGCAGTGAATATGAATATATCAATTGAGGAAATGAATGAAAGAACAAACAGAGTCATTGAATTTACTAATCGAAAGGCAGAGAGTAAACAGAACAATTAACTTTACCAATTCAAGACGGCAGCGAAGAATAAATACAGCCACTGAATATACCAATATATCGAGGAAGTGAGTGAAAACAACCCAAATCAATAAAAAAAAAATGTAAATGAAAGGGGAAAAGTTTCGAATGAAAAGAAGACGAAAATTCGATGCCATGTCTATCAAAAAGAAGTATCAAATTTACAGCGGGAACATTTTCTCGCAATCACGAGATTTGAAACAACACGTGTGTCCTTTACATTAATGAGAAGTGAAAAGCAGAAAAAGGTTTCTCTATTTGCGATGAAATAGCATACATTAACTTATACTGCAGGGAAGAAGCACAAATTGTTCAAAATGCGAAAAAACAAAAAATTTTGTTAGAACAGATTTTTTTGAAAATTCATGATCAAAATCATACAAAAAGTACTTATTGCATGCAAGAAAAATTTCGTATTAAAAAGCAGTTTTGAAATCATACGCTAAAAGCTTTTATATTAAAAAGAAAACAAGGGGAAGCATTTTAAAATTAGACATTGCTGCTATTATAATATTATTGATTATCAACGATTCCATCAACTGCTTACTACTAA